ATGGCGAACGTATTTCAACTTTATCATGGACTGCCAAACTACATTCTTTTGAACTTTACCTTTTTTTTTTTTTTGGGGGGGGGGAGTAAGGCAGGAGTTTTTTGTGGTTTTGTTTTTGTTTTTGTTTTTTTGTTGAAACTCATGGATGGTCTTCAAATGAACTCTGTTAGGATCCATTCTGGATGAAATGGTTAGGGCTCATGATTAAGAGATGAGGTAGAACAGAAAAAGACTTAAACCAAGGGCTATCCTCCTGTAAGAAAGTCTGTTTCTAAGCTGTGAATGGAAAACTGCTCATACCCACCCGGGAAGCAGTTAACACTGCAGGATGGGAAGCATTTGCAGGGTAAATTATTCCCTGTGGGGAAGGTTATCCTAGTTAGGGTTTCTATTGATGCAATGAAACACCATGACCAAAGCAAGATGGGGAGGAAAGGGTTCATTTGGCTTACACTCCAAATTGCTGTTCATCATTAAAGGAAGTCAAGACAGGGACTCAAACAGTGCAGGAACCTAGGGGCAAGAACTAATGCAGAGGCCATGGAGGAGTTTCCTGGACCACCAGCCCAGGGTTGGTACCACCTACAGTGGGCTGGGCCCTGTCCCATCAAACTGCTGATTAAGAAAATACCCTACAGCTGGGTCTTATGGAGGTATTTTGTCATTTGAGGTTCCTTCTTTTCTGATGACTAAAACAGTGTTTGCAACCCTCCTAATGCGGCGACCCTTTAATACAGTTCCTCTTGTGGTGACCCCAGCCATAAAATTATTTTCATTGCTACTTCAGAACTGTAATTTTGCTACTGTTACACATTGTAATGTCAATATCTGTGTTTTCTGGTGGTGTTAGGTGACCCTGTAAAAGGGTTCTTTGACCCCCAAAGGGGTTTCAACCCACATGTTAAGAACCACTGGACTAGCTTATGTCAAGTTGACATAAAACTAGTTGGACAGAAGGTGGATGTTTTCTGACTTGGCAGTTTCCCTAACTTCCCTGTCCTCACAGAAGGAGAACTCTCTGACCAACTGGGTCTGGGAGCCAAGAATTGGCAGATACTAGGTAAAGACAGGAAAGGCTGCCACAGGTTCTCTTTCTGCTCCTCAGGAGAATAGCAAACAGAAGGAAATGCCAGACCTAGTCCCATGGGCATGGGATGGGAAGTTATTTCTTAATGGGAGGAAGATAAATATATTGTTTTTCACAGATATACCAAAGACTACCCATATAAGTTGCTTGTTTATATTTTTTAAAAAAAATGGGGTTTTATGTAACCCAGGCCAGTCTTAAACTCACTGTATAATCAAAGATGACTTCAAACTTTCTATCCTCCTGCCTTTACCTCCCAAGGGCTTAGATTATAGGTATGTGGCCAGTTTAAATGGTGCTGGGGACCAAATCCAGTTCATATATGCTATCAACTGACCTATATCCCCAGTCCATGTCTGCCTGTTTAAAGAAAAATGCCCATAATAAGCATTTATCACAATTTTCAGCAGTTAATTCAGCCAAGAATCACCATTTTTCTGCTCTCATGCATGTGTTCTTGCTGGTTGTTCTTAAGGATGATGGCGATCAGTATAGAGAGATGTAAATGCTGCCTGGCCCCTGGGAGCACAGAGAGTTCTGAAGAAGTTTTGGGTTTGATTTTCATCTCATTTATACTATTGGGTTGTATATTAGCTATCTAGTACTACATAACAAGTGGCTGCAATACAGCAGCTTCAGCTCCCACCCAGGTATAATCCTGGAGGTCTGTGAGGCGGGAGTCTTGGCATTGGGCTTCCATCTGTTAGAGGACTGCAGCCTGGCATCAAGGCATCAGCCGAGGCTGGGCGCTCATCTGTAAGCTCATGTAGGGGAGACTTAACTTGTTGGCAGAATTTACCTCATTGAGGTTTGGACTTGAAGCCATGGTTCCTACTGCTGGCTGGATGCCACCCTCAGTTTCTTGTCAAGTGGGGCTTTCCAGAATGGCTGCTTCCTGTTTATAAGTGTGTAAGCCCAGAAGGCCATCAGGAGAGTATGCGAACAAGATGGGAAGCTACAACTTTAGGTGACCAAACCATGGAAGGAATGGCCTACCACTTTTGGTGCATGGCACCACTGCAAGCCAGCCATAGACTGCATCACACCCAAGGAAAGGGACTGTGCAGTAATGAATACCAGGAGTCTCTCCTAGACTGGCCATCACTAGGTTGGAGCTACACCTGCCTATTTCAGAACCCATATGTTGTGTGTGTGTGTGTTTGTGTGTTTGCTTGATGGAAGAATAGCCCGCCTTGGTTTACTTTTCCTGTTGCTGTAATAAAATACCCTAACAAAAGCAACTTAGAGAAAAGGGTTTATTTTGGCTCACAGTTCAAGGTACAGTTCATCAAGATGGGAGGAGCCTGAAGCACCTGGGCACACTGCATCCACATCAGAGAACAGAATCTTTACATTTAACTCAGGATCCCAAGCCCAGGAAATGGTTCTACCTACTTTTAGGCTGTGTCTTCCCACCTCAGTTACCTAAACTAAGATAATCCCTGAAAGGAATAGCCAGAGGCCCATCTCCCAGGTGCTCCCTGCCTCTGTGACCATTAATTCAGCATTTCAACTTGATTACAGGAGTAAGAATCGGTGGGGAAGTCCAGCACAGGGATCTGGGTAAAGGATGAGCCTGAGCTTTCATTCTTCCAGACTTTTTGTTTCTGCTGGAAGTATATTGCTGGAATGTGGTATCTTGTAAATTAAGGCCAGCATTCTATATAGAGCCTGGCTCCAAAGAGGATTATTCCCAGCACTTGGGAGTTTGAGGCAGCCTAGTCCATATAAAGAGATGTCTCAAAAAAAAAAAAAAAAAGTTTTGAGTAGATTTTGGACTCAGTCAGTTCTTCTGCAAACTCATTTGTTTGTTTATTTGTTTATTTGTGTGTGTGTGTCCAGGCGTTCACAGTTCATGAACCTCAGAGATCCAAGCCAGGCATCTTTCTCTTCAATCATGCTCATATTTTTGCTTGTTTTGAGACAGGGTCCCTCTGTGTAGCTCTGGCTGCCCTGTAACTCTCTTTATAGACCAGGCTGGCCTGGAACTCACAGAGAGTCACCTGCTCTGCCTCCCAAGTGCTGGAATCAAAGTTGTGTGACACTTTACCAGGCTACTCTAGAACTCTCAACACTGGAATCTATTACACTTCTGCTCCTGGCTTTTCTATAGTTCCCTAGTATTTATTTCAGGTCCTTGTGTTTGAGCAACAAGCACTTTACTAACTGAGCCATTTTTACCAATTTCTATTGCCGCTTTTGTTTGTTTTGTTTTAATAACAAATGCTTTAATGATAACTTTGATCCATAAAGTCCATTCCTATACATGTATTTCAAGACATCAAAATGACTTTACTAATATAAAAGATGAAAGGAAAATAATTACAATAAAATGTATTTGTTTGGTTTTATTCATTTTACGTGTATTGGTGTTTTGCCTGCGTATATCACATGTGTGAGTTACAGAATGTTGTGAACTGCCATGTGGATGCTGAGAATAAAAGTCTGGTCCTCTGGAAGAGCAGTCCATGTTCTTAACTGCTAAACTAACTCTCCAGCCACTTAAAAATGTGCTTTATGTGTAAATGCGAGACTCGAGAGATGACCAGTGGTTAAAGTGATGGCTACACATCATAAGGACCGAAGTTTGGTTCTCAGCACCGTGGAACAAACCAGACATCCCACATATGCCTTTAACCCCAGCTCTGAGGAGGAGGAGAGACAGGATTGTTGGGATTTCCTTGCTCCAGAGCCAGTGAGAAACAAAAAAATAAGGTGGTAAATGATTGAGGAAAACATCTGACTTCCACCAACCTCTGGCTTCAACATGGCTGACCACATAGTGTGTGTTTACAAGTGCACAAATAAGTAAAGAACTCTTTAAAATATGTAAAATATGTAAAAAAGCAAAGAGGTTGGGTCCTTATCTCTGGTTTAGAATCACTGCTGAGTAGACATAGTGGTGCACACAGAGAGAAGGACAAAGCCACTGCTATGAGCACAGACTTAAGTCAGTGTAAAAAGAAGGACTCAGATCTTATAATTTGCCATCGGTGCTGTAATTTCTTAGCAAGATGAGTAATTCTTGGAAACTTTCAAATAAAAATGAACCATTATCCCATAATTTGCTTAGTAGTTGTATTCCTGGAAGGTTGAATGAGTGTTCAAATTGTGAAAAAAAAAAAAAAAAAAAAATCTCTTGGTTGGAGTTAGTCCAGGCCCAGGTAGTTATAAATAAGGCTATTGTCATGCTGAACACTGGAGACTCTAAGGGCTTTGTTAAAGTTAATTGTAGAGGATTTTGCTGTACTTGCCAGGACAAATGTTAGGACCCTCATTCCCTTCCTTCCAAAAATCTCCCAGTTCTGTATATGGATCTCAATTACTGTAAATATAACAAAATCCATTGGTTGTGCTGGTGTGTCGATGCATAATTATAATTCCTGCTCTCGGGGAGCTATGGAAGGAAGGTAGACAGTTTAAAGTCAGCCTGGACTCCATAGTAAGACCTTGCTTCAAAATTAAATAAATAAAAATCCCTGAGGCTGGGGAAACGGCTCAGCAGTTCGGAGTGCTCTCTGCCCTTGACAGGGAATAGCGCTCCATTCCCAGGGCCTCAGATTACTCAACTGCAGCTGCAGCTCTGAAGGACCCAGCACCCTTGCTGGAGCTCCATGAGTGCCCGTACACGTATGTGAATGCGCATTCACACATACTTAGATAATAAAAATAAATCTTGTTTTAAAAAAACAGCTGGTGGTACACATTCAACATTATCTCTGCTGCATAGTGAGTTTCAAGGCTGTCTTGGCTAAATGAGATACTATCCATTTTTAAAGAGCTGGGGTAGGTCTCAAGGATAGGACACTTGCCTCCTATATGCAGAGCCCCAGGTCATCCAACCTCTTAAAAAATGACAAGGCACAACAACAACAAAACCTACAACCCTGACGAATGCTTTCTTTTTCAACAGAAACCTGTTTCCTTCCAATCTCGTGGTTGCAACATTCAATTCGGTAAGGTTTGCTACTTTGTCAAATATATGAAACTTTGATCAGGGAACCGCATAAATGAATGCTCCAGAGTGTAGGAAAGGAGGGAACCCTTCAGAAATGAGGCTTATTAGAAGTGGCCCTGAAATCATGATCAGGCCTCCAAGTGGGAAGGAGAGCATGATGCAGAAAATGGTACAATGTATGTTAGAGTCAAATGAGGTGGCCGTGGAGGGAAGGAGAGGCTTCCCTTTGAAACTTGAAGTGAAAAAAGGAGGGATGGGGCGAGATGGGGAGGGAGGGAGGTACCTCCATGAGGAAGATGAAGGGGGAGCCCAGAGGAGCCTCTTCATGGATATCCCAGAGCAAGCCCCAGGAGGGATCTTGTTACAAACAGAACTTAGTAACATTAGGGTTGGCTTTCTTTTACAGATAGATACGTGGAACAAAATAACAACAACAAAAAAATGTAGAAGGGGGACTCCAAGATCCTTTCGGATCATTGAGGAAATGCCTTCAAACTGTCATTTGGAGATTATCCTAAACATTATAGAATTTTCAGAAATAACGCTTTTGTTCTGATTATAAAGGTTGTATGTACATGCTGCAAGAAAAAAGTGAGTGCCTTGTGTGTAGAATGTAAGGTAGAGAAAACAATAGATGCATGGAGCTTTTGGTGCTTGTCACAGAAGGATGGTTGTGGTTGGTCTCCCTGCCATGCCAATCATGGGACAATTGGGCACATTTGTCCTGTGAAACCTTGATAAAGTTGAGAGAAGTCAAAGCTCATGAAACATGGACACCAAACAGACAGTCTGGTTTATACCTCCATGTGGATGTCTGACAATTGTGCAGTCACATGACCTCAGTAGCTAGGAGGAAGAACTGGGCTCCAGCAGAGTCCACTCATAGCAAGGACAGAGCTGCCGTACACACCATGCATGGGCAGGCGTGTGTCTAGTCAACCAACACCCGGGAGACGTGGCCGGAAGACGCTGCCTTGCCTCACGTCCCTTCCTCTGGAGATGGCAGCTCAAGTCAGATTGGATGCCAAAGAGCAGCCACACTTGAGTCATTCTGGAACACAGTGGAGCATAGTAGATGAATGAAAAATAAAATGTAATGAAACTTTGGCTTTCTGGAATTTGTGTCAAACTTCTTCAAATACTATGAAACATGAGCTGTTGGAGTATCAAACTATCAGCAGGAAATTGTGTACATCTTCTTTGCCCAAGGACAGATTCAAATTCTCTGTTTCCTTGGGTCCCTAAATAACCTGAAAATTGTCTAGAAGGGCTCACTGCCTTGGTGTTGATGTACCTTATGCAGGTTTCAGAGGTCAGCGTCAGGCCAGCCGAGTGAAGCCTGCCTAGCATGCTCACATAAGTAGTGGCAGCAGCAGAGCGAGACCTCACTGTGCCTTAATGCCACTAGGTGGGGCTTTATACCTGTTTACTAACGATGGGTTTTCTTCCTCTTTATTAGTCTGCAACCGGTTATACCTACCTGCCCCATAACACCAGCTCGGGGAACGTGACCTACGAGAAGGTGAGGCTCTTCAGAAGATCATCTACGAAAATGTGTTCAAAGCAAGCCAGCTCCCTTCATGAAGGGCTGCCCAACGGTGTCCTTTACTTCCTGGGGTTGGAGCTTAGGTGTCTGAATGGAATATTTAACCCTCCAGGTTAGGTTTGCTTCTGACACCACAGCCAAATGCCAGAGTATGAAGCACTGAAATCTTCAGAGGTCTGTAAGCTATTTCATAACGCCCTCCTACCTAAAATGTAATGGGTATGGGACTCAGCATAAAAATTAAATAATAACCCAAAACGTATTTTACCATACAAGTAGACAGTTATAGAAGATATTTTAAAAAAGGGTTTGTGTATTTGCATATACTTGGAATTAATAAATCTGGACTTAAAAACAGTGAAGCCTGGTACTGATAAGGCACGGTTATAATCCCAGCACTTATGAGCCTGAGGCAGGAGAATCACCATGAGTTCCAGGATACACTAGGCTATACAGGAAGATTCTGTCTCAAAAATAAAATGAAGTGATAGTAAAACCAGAGGGAGCTGAGCATGGTGGCGTGTGCCTGTGTTTCCAGCTAGAAGAGGATCAAACAGGCCAGCCAGTGCAACATAGTGACCTTGTCACTATAGATGTGATAAAGCTGTGTCTGCTGAGAGTCCCACAACCTCAGCACTAAGGAGTCTGAGATGGGAGTTTCAGCCCCAGCTACAGAGTTGAAGTGCCTGTTTCAGAATAACAAAAGTAATAAATAAAACCAGTAAGGCAAAATTCAGCCTAATGTTTAGTGCCTTTTTTGCACATTTTGAAAACAAAAGGTGCTAAGTAGATACTTTCATATCTGCCTGTATAATAAATAATCCAGAATGCCATAGCTGCATCTTTAGGTTGGCCTGTTGGACTAGTGATTTGGATTTTAGTACTTTGTTTCATCAATAACACTCTTCTAAAATGGTAAATGACACTTGGTAGATTAGAACAAAATGATGTTTTCCTTGACTTTACATCAACTTGGTAACTTTGGAGAGTTCAAGTTATTTGTGTATGTAAAACAGTCAAGCCAGCTGTAGTGGCTCACACCCTTAATCACACCCTATTGAGGCAGAGGCAGGTGGAACTCTGTGAGTTCAAGGCCAGCCTGGTCTACAGAATGAGTTCCAGGACAGCCAGAGCTACAAAGTGAGATCTTGTCTCAAGACAAACAATAAGAAAGAGTCAACATTCTCCTTTGATGTGTCATTTGAGTGTCAGGACAGCCTGATTCCCACAGCAAATAGCTTGAAATGGTATGCTGGGGCTCATTTAGGACTGTCTGAAGCATGGAGGCATCCTAGAACCCACCTGTCCTTCAAGTTTTGTCAGACATGGCATTGCTGTGGGCTCTGATTTCTCCCACGGAAGTGCTAGTGACCACAGGCATCCCCCTGCAGGTGTCCCCGTTCTCACAGTAAATTCAGGGATGTTAGTTCTTTAACAGAGGATCTGTGTGGCCTTGCCAATTCCAGGCTTCATTTTTTAAGACACAGGTAGAGTTATTTGTGTCCCCAAGGGTGGAATGCTACTGGCAGGATTAACCAGGAATCCAGGAGCCTAAGGACAATGAAAAGCTCCAGCCCTCACCTGTGGCTCTCCTCTATGCCTGCTTTGATCTGCAATAACTTTCCCTGGGTCCACACCTAGCCTTTTGTTGGATCATTAATTCACTCAACAGTGACATTTGGCAGCCATTGGGTGCCACAGTTGGGTGGCACTCACTCCAGACAGAGCCCTGCCCTTGCAGAGCCCACTCCAGTGCAGAGGACCATTGAACAAATTGATCCACCAGTGGTGGGTGCTTGGGAGGAAAAAGAAACAGAGCATGTACACAGGCAGAGAGAGGAAGGACATTCATGTGCTGGTCGGCCATGTGCTTAGCCTTGGTGAGCAGGGAGGCCTTGACCCAGGGAGAGAATGGTTCAGGTAGTGGGAACAGAGTATGCAGAGGCGCCACACTGCTTGGCTGTCCTAACCTTGTCAAAGCTGATGTCACTACAGTGACATTAAATCTCAGCATCCTTGGGATGCTGAGCCACATGCCACCAGCTTTCTTGCTCCAAGCCAGAAAGTCAGTTCCAGATCTGGAAATAAGTAATCTCAAATACCATACCTTGGAATTCAGATTTTCTGAAACCAGCATTTGAAAAATAGATGAGTTCCCTGATTACACTGATTCTTGACCCTCAGTCCCAGCTAGGGCTTCAGAATGAGTCAGTACTCTCAGGTCAGTACCAGGTGTTTGCCAGGCAGCCCATAAGTCCTGCTAGTGTTGACTTGTCCACAGACCACCCAACCAGTAGTAGAGAAGGGCCTGCAATTCAGGTCTTTCTTTATAGCCCCTTAACCTTATTTCTCTGATAGGCCAGGTCTCAGGAGAGAATAGCAGTACTCAGAAATCTATGGTATTACAATAACATTGTAAGAATATACTCTAAGATGATCTCTAAGTAAATTTCCATCAAACTAATAATAGAGTGGTAATCCCATCACTTGAGAGGTACAGGCAGTAAAATTGTGTGTTCTAGGTCTGCCCTAGTTACCTAGCGAGCCCCTGTCTCACAAAGCAGGAAAAAAAAAAGAAAAGAAAAGAAAAGAAAAGAAAAAGCCTTCCTTTATTATACTATGTATTCCTTGTCTTGGTCTCCTATCAGTTATGTGCTCCCTACCATGGTGAGCTTAAAATATCTGAAACTGTAAACTAAATATGTATTTCCTCCAAAAAACAAAACAAATAAAAGAACTTCTGGGACTATAACTCCATTGGTAGAGCTTTCTTGCATGCAGAAGCTCTGGACGGACCATCATAAAACCAGGCATGGCAGTGCATGCCTGTAATTCTGACTCCCAGGATGTGGAAGCAGCTGAATCAATTAAGGCCATCTTTAGCTCTGTAAGTTCAAGACCAGCCTGGACTGGTCCCCCCAAACAAAAACAAATTATTAGTTTTGATTTTCTAGAAACAGTCTGAGTACTTCACGGACATAACATACTTAATCTTCCTAACAGCTACGTATTCACTGTTGTTTTTATCCTTGTTTTTGTAGGTGTAGAACTAAGCCACAGAAAGATCAAGTTACTCAGCTCAACTTACTCAGGCTCTGCAGATGGCCTTCCTTACCTAGTATCACTATTAGACGTGTTCTGGTAAACTTGTATATTAGTGTAAACAAAATAGTGTGTGATGGGTGTCTTCCTGTACTTCATTACCATAAGCTTTGAGATATTTCTTAATGAAAAGTTGGAAGAAAATGACATGGCTCCCCATCTGTCATTATGACATGTTTGTATTCTTGGTCATTGGTGAGTGTCCTGTGAGTCAAACCTTTCACTCAGATGTATCCAGTTAACCTGGAAATGAGTGAAATCTATTGAAAGTGTATTTATGGCAAATTTAAATGTCTATTTACCAGACACTGGGCCATGGCCTAGCTTTTGAGATGACTAGATAGAAGGGATGAGGGACCTGGGAACTATCCAGCCCAATAATTCCGTACTGCTCTGGGCTGACAGAGGGAAGAGGAGAAACTCTGCCCTCCACGAGCCCACATGCCTCATCATACAAGGGCTGAAGGGCTCAGGGCTCTGCCAGCCGGCATGCCTCATGACCCAGCAGGCTAAGTCTGTTGCTGCTAGGTTCTGATGACCAAGCTTGATCTGTAGGACCCACTGTGGAAGGAGAGAATTCATTCCTAGACATGTCCTCTGCTGTGTGTGTATGTGTGTTCACACACGCGTGTATAGACACACGCGCTATGTATGCCAAGTGTGTGCACACAGGACCATGCATATAACAGATAAAGGTAATTAAAAAAAAAAAACAAAAACAGCAGCTGAGAGCTACCTGGGCTCATTCTTGTCTTGTAATGAAGAACCCCAAGGCTCAAGGAAGTCAGTCCCAGAACTGGGACTAATATCTGGGGTTTTTACCATGTTGCATGTTTTCTAGACATCACTTTATGGAGATTTTCTTTCTTGTTGCTCTTTAGAGTTATTTTTAGTTGTTATGCATATGTATATGTATGTGTCTGTATGTGGGTTTTATGCCTTAGTACGGCCATCTGAGGAGACCAGGGGAGGCTATTAGCTCTGGAGCTGGAGTTCCTTGTGATTGTGAGCTGCTGGAAACTGAACTCCCATCCTCTGCAAGAGCACCAAACTGCACCTCTCCAGCCCCTGTTTGTTTTTGAAAATCCTACTGCCTCTGCCTCTTAAGCACTGAGTCCCAGCACTGTCATGCCGGGCTGTGGTGTTTTGACAGGATGAAATGCTTGTTTTCTCCATGTCGGGATTCCACATTGTTAGGAACACAAAGCTTCTTATGTCTACACATCTTTTTTTTTTTTTTTTGGGGGGGGGGGGGAGTTGGTTTTCAAGACAGAATTTTGTTGTATAGCCTTAGCTGTCCTGGAACTTGCTCTGTAGACCAGGCTGGCCTCAAACTCACAGAGATCTACCTGCCTCTGCCTCCCTAGTGCTGGGATTAAAGGTGTATGCCACCACACACCTGGGTTATGTCTACACATTTTCAGCCAGTGAGTTAGCAAAGCCCACATGAATCCTGAAAATCTCGTGAGATTTGTCCGCTAGGAGGTCAGTATAAGAGCCAAGCAGCATAAGATGTGTTGGCATTTGGGAGATGACAATTACAGCGCTTGGGTCTCCGAAGGACATCTAACAACCAGATTGGTTTGGGTTTTTTATAGCCCAGGTTAGCCTCAAAACCTTAGTGTTCCCCCTGAGGTGGGGTTTGGGGGGCAGCCTTACCATGCACAGAGGAAGACAATGCAGAGTCCTGGTGAGACCTGATAGGCTAGGGTCAGAGGGAAGGGGAGGAGGACCTCCCTATCTTGGACTGGGGAAGGGGCATGGGAGAAGAGGGAGGGAGGGCCGGATTGAGAGGGGATGAGGGAGGGGCTACAGCTGGGATACAAAGTGAATAAAGTGTAATAAAAACTATTTTAAAACAAACAACCTCAGTGCTTCTCCCCTCAAGCCTCCTGAGTGCTATGATTACTCCCAGCTAATAGGTAAAATTTTTATTCGTTGACTTCCTGCATTCTCCTGCTCTTTGTCCCATCGTTTTCTCTCCTTTGGTTTTAACTTACTCGTGTATCTGAGCACTTGCTTGTTCTGCACAGAGTTTCAGACACTGAGCACATCCATTCTGTAGTCCCACTCGTCTGTTGCTGGGCTTGAGTCATGCCTCTCTTCTGCTCTACAGATCCCCATTGTCGCCAACATTGAAGGAATGAACATTTTAGGACTGGTCCTTTTCTCCCTGGTGTTAGGAGTGGCTCTAAAGAAGCTAGGCCATGAAGGAGAAGAGCTCATCCGGTTCTTCAGTTCCTTCAATGAGGCCACGATGGTGCTGGTGTCATGGATTATGTGGTGAGTGTGACTGCCACCTCTCGTCCTCTGATTTCCCCCTGGCATCTAGGAGAGATATCAGTACACTAGGTTGATGACGTACATGGTACAAAATGATGATGTCATGCTACAAAAAGTGTTGATTGGACCAGTGAGATGGCTCAGTGGGTAAGAATGCTTGCCTCACAACCTGAGTTTACTCTCTAGATCTCACAGTGGGAGGACAAAACAGATGTTCAAACGTTGTCTTCCAACCTTCACGTGTACACATATCACACACACACACACACACACACACACACACACACTAATGACAATAATAGTGATGATGACTATTATGGTGAGGAGGAGGAGGAGGAAAAGGATGCTTTAAATCTTTAGGGAAGTGATTCAGTGTGCTCGTTTCTCCTCTTGGCTGGGTCTCCTAGAGAACAGGTTGGTATGCCCATAGATACTGTTTGGTGTTCGTGCTGACTCCTTGACTTTTGTCACCACGATCCATGTATAGATTCCCATGTCAACCCTATATTTGCCATGTCCAGTTTACTGTCTGGTGCATAAAAAAGTTATTTTATCTTAAAATGATAAACTTTAAGCTTCAAGGAGGCTCGTCAGTGTGACCTTTTGCAACTGGAGCCATGGTGGCCATGAGCCACCACATGGATGCTGGGATTGAACCCAGGCCCACTGCAAGAACAACAAGCACTCTTATCCACTGAGCCATCTCTCCAGCCTGTCAGTGTGACCTTTTGCTACAAACTCATCCCCTCCCTGCTTACATAAAAGTCGGCATGGTTTCTTATGAAAGCTTTTAATTTATAAGTGTTTCTTTGTGTCATTTTGATGAAAGGATGATTGTGCAACAGAAACCATTAGCTTGATTCCTGACTAAAAAATAATAATTTGACCGTCTCCTTCAAAGCAACGTCCCAGAAATCAGACCAGTTCCAGGCCTCATGTCTTAAAAGCTTTGCTGGCATTTCACCTTTGTTTTGTGGCAAAACAAAGGTGAAATGTGGCATTTCACATTGTCTTTCTGAGGGTTTCTATTGCTGTGGTGAAGCACCAAGACCATAAATGACATGGGGAGGAAGGGGTTATCTTAGCTTACAGCCTCACATCCCAGCCCATCATAGCAGCCCATCCCAGCAGCCAGGACGCAGGAGCTGATGCACAGGTTATAGAGGGATGCTGCTTACTGGCTTATCTTCGTGGCTTGTTCAGCCTGCTTTCTTATAGCACCCAGGACCACCTGGTGGTACTGGCCAAGGTCACCTGGGCCTTCCCATCCCAGTCATCACTCAAGAAAATACACTGTACCACAGGCCAGTCAAACGAGGGTATTTTCCTCAATTAATGTTCTCTCTTTCCAAGGACTTAGCTAGCCTGTGACAAGTGGATATAAAAACCAGCTCCCACATCACCTCAGCAGACCTAGTTTATGCCGTCACAGACAGTATTTCTTATGGTCAGCCGCTAGCGATCCCAGTGCTTTTCTCTCTCTGATGACTTAGGTGCCAATTGGACTGGTTTTAGGAGAAAGTTGATACTGACAGGCCAAATTTAGACCCCGTCAATGGTGTTTTTCTTTCTCGGTGTAAAAACCATGTAAGGCAACCCACACTGCAAACGTGCCACTTCACTTGATTGTTGTTCCGGAGAGAGTTGTTTGGCCTGGCCTGGCTCTGTGAGGCAGCCTCTCCTGTAGCCCAGGCTGGCCTTGAACTTGCTGTGTAGCCAAGGATGCTTTAGAACTTCCTATCCCACCCTCTGAATCTCCCAAGGACTGGCTTTACCACATCCCACTTTGGTGTCCTTGCGTGTTCACACTGCTGAGAGTGTGGACTGGCATGCGCAGGCAGCTCACAGAAGGGAAAGCTGGCACGAGCAGTCCACATCCTGGGGTACCCACCTCCGTTGAAAATCAAGTCATGGCGTCTTCATTTTGTCAGGCATTGATTAGAATGAGAATAAGATCTGTGTGTGTGTGTGTGTGTGTGTGTTTGTACCTAGTGATTTTTTTAAAACTTTTTTCATTTAATCACTACAGCCTGATCCCAGTGCTTCCCTCCTCTCCTCCCAGTCCCATCCTCATGCACCCCTTCCCCGCATTCTTCTCAGAGAAAGGGAGGCCCCCAAGAGGTACCAACCCACCCTGGCACCTCAAGTCATAGCAGAGCTAAGCACATCTCCATGGGGGCCTGACAAGGCAGCCCAGCTAGGGGAAAGGGATCCAGAGGCAGGCAACAGAGTCAGAGACAGTTCTGACTCCCATTGTTAGGGGACCCAGATGATGACCAAGCTGTGCATCTGCTACCTATTTGTGGGGGATCTAGGTCTAGCCTATGCGTGCTCTTTGGTTGATGGTTCAGTCTTTTGTGCCCCCGTAGGTTGAGAATAGGGTTCTTAACCCAGGTGCTTTTGACCTCTAGAGCTGGACTTCAGAGTTGTGACAATGAAACTGTCTCCCTGACGTCTCCAATAGTCTCCCGGGAAGAAAATCTCCCACGGGAGGACATTGGTGCAGGAGCAGGCCCGAGGCTTCCCTCTAGACTGCTGGTGGCAGCCAGAGGTTAGAGAATAATTCAGCACCATTTAGTAATGTTTAGGCTGAGCACATCTTCAAGTCGGCAGAGTCCCTACTTGAAGTCTTGACCTAAAGAACACAGGCATGTGAACACAGACAGACATTTTCCAAAGATGAGAACCTAGGAAGAAAGCAAGGCACTTCCATTCTGAGGAAATGCCGAACACAAGGTCATGAGGCCATACAAGCTTGTAATCCTAGCCCCTGGGAAGAGGAGCAAGGAGCTCAGCAACAGCCTTGGCTACCTGTAATCCTGTCTCAAACCGACCACAAAAGTAGTGGGATGAAGGTTGAAACAGCCCAAATGTCTACCAGTAGTAGGCGGGTAGAAAAGCAAAATGTGGTACGCAGAAAATGGAGTGTTACTCAGCCTTATAAAACATGCTATTCTGACATCTACTACAATGCGGAGGAACCTTGAAGACATCAGGCTGCCGAAGCAAGATCACAGAAAGATAAATATGTATGGCCCTGCTTCTGTGTACCTACAACAGCAGTTACCAGAGGCTGGGGTGGGGGTGGAGGCCATGGGGGCTGCTGTTGAATGAGAGCAGAGCTTCACTCTGGACTGATGGAGACACTCCTGGGCTGGGTGGTGGCAACGGCTGCCCAGCAGTTCCAATGCACTCAGGGAAGATCAACTCTACACATAAAGATGGCTTAAACACTCATTTTGATGTATTTCATCACACACACACACACACACACACACACACACACACACACACACCAGCTTTCTAAATGCTGACACGAAGGTCTGGGAGGCAGAATGTGAAATATAAGAGAAGCTCAGATTTCAATGCATTTCTCTATATCTAGGTACCCAGGGAGGAGGGGTGCTTGTCTGAGGAGGGACCTGGCTTGATTAAGAGGAGTGTTCTAGTCCCCAAGAGGGGGAGTATTCCTATTTGAAACCGAGACTTAAATTTTCTGATACTGCTTAGAATGTCTCTAGAAAGAAAACTGAAGAAGCCAATCACACTGGCCACATCTGCTCGGGTGCTGGGGGCTCATGCGAGAGACTTCACATTGCTCTCCCTTCTATGCCCCTTGAATTCTGAAGAAGGAGGCATTATTAACTGTAAATTAAATTTTTCAAATTAAAACAGTTATAGAATTGTCACTGAATTGATATTCAACTAGGGCAACTGACTTTTGTTCTTTGTAGTTTCTATAATTTATGCCTTTTCTCTCTTTAAAAGAAAAAAAAAATCTTCCTCTTCTGGCAGTGTTCCCAGAACATCACTGTTAATGACTTTTTCCCATGGGATCATGTCTTTCAAACCACAAAGAATGTAAAATTTCACAGACGCCCTGGGCTATGCGCACTTAGTTTCACAGCAGCTCTGTGGGATTCCTGTGTTTCTGAGTTCTCAGGACAAGTCTGAGCAAAGCTAAAAGTCGGCTTACAGTCTCAAGGCCGTCAGCTTTTAGTTCGTTGCCCTTTTGCCATGTAGTTGGCAGCAGTCAATCAGTTAGGAACAATGTAGAGCCAGGTGTAATGCCACATGCCTGTAAACCCAGTACTCAGGATGCTGAGACAGGAGGATTTCAAGTTCAGACTAGCCTGGACTATATAGTGAAACCTGTCTACAAGGAAGGAAAGGGGAGGAAAAAGAGGAGAAAAGAAAAACTAAAAGAAAGTAGATATGTATATACCAAAAAAAAAAAAAAGCCACCCACATCTTTTTCTGTGTTTAGGGTTACTCTACAGGAAGATGAAGATGACTCGGTTGGAAGGCCCTGTTTTGTCTCAGCATCTCCCAGCCCCTCCCTGATGAGTGTCTGTGCTTCTGACCTAGGTACGTCCCTATAGGCATCACGTTCCTGATCGGCAGCAAGATTGTGGAGATGAAGGACATCATCATGCTGGTGACCAGCCTCGGGAAGTACATCTTTGCATCTATCCTGGGCCACGTCATTCACGGAGGAATCGTTCTGCCTCTTATCTATTTTGCTTTTACACGGAAAAACCCGTTCAGATTCCTCCTGGGCCTTCTCACGCCATTTGCAACAGCTTTTGCTACCTGCTCCAGGTGAGTGGGCTTGGGGACTACCTTGGCTACTCAGAATGTATGGGAATGGAGCCAGGCAAGCCCCACGGTTCTCTTGGGAACATTTTGTACTGAGGCCCTTGAGTGAATTCATGCAAAGAATGTAACAAGTGAATCCTGGAAGTGGTGTTTGACTGCTGTGGGGCTTAGCAGTTGCACTGGAAACTTTGCAAGAAGTCTGACTGTCGTCCTTATTTCGAGTATAGAAGGCAGACGCTTGCCAGGATGCTGCCCACTGATGCATTGCAGGGTCTGAGGCAAGTGGCATTTGCCTGGCTAGGAAGGACTATTTCCATGTGTGTGTTTCACCCATTTCTAGCTCAGCAACCCTTCCATCCATGATGAAGTGCATTGAAGAGAACAATGGTGTGGACAAGAGGATCAGCAGGTTCATCCTCCCCATCGGGGCCACCGTGAACATGGATGGAGCAGCCATCTTCCAGTGTGTGGCAGCAGTCTTCATCGCCCAGCTCAACAATAAGGACCTGAACGCAGGGCAGATCTTCACCATTCTGTGAGCTCGTTATTCTTTCCTACATCTTTAGGCTTAAAACTTTTGTGTGTGTGTCTGTGTATATACATGGGTATGTGTGTGTATATGTGTGTATATTATGTGTGTTATGTATGTATGTACGTGTGAGTGTATATGTGTATGTATGTGTGAATGTGTGATTTGCATTGAAAAGCCAATCTCCCCATCACTCGGTGTCTCATTTGTAAAGGTGAGACAGTGAGAATGTATCACTGTCATCCCTCAGTATCTTGGAGCTATGTTAGTTTTCTTGCTGCTGGGACAGAATACCTGACAGAAAACAGTATTTTGGCTTGCAGTTTGAAGGGATACAGTCCACTGTAGTGGGAAAGGTCTGGGAATGGGTGTGGAAAGCTGTGTGCTCACATCCAGCTGGGTCAGGGCGAGTGCTGGCCTGTAGCTGGCTTTCTCCTTTACACATTAGGGTGAGTCTTCCACCCCAGGTAACCCTTTCTGGAAATGTCCCCATAAACATACCCAAAAAGTGTGCCTCACTAAGGCTCTAGACATTTCTCCACTCAATCAACTGACAATCCAAAGTATCTGTCACAGTCACACTGGTTCCAGGACATCTTTTTCCAACAGATAACGGGTAATGTAGTAGTTTTTGCATTTCTGTGACAAAATATTTGCAAGAAATGACCTAAAAGATGAAAGGTTTCTTGGGGCTCCTGGTTTAGAGGGATTTTAGTCCATCGTGGTAGAGAAGGGTAATTTCTTGTTCACGTGGTGGTAGATAGGAAGCTGAGGGTGGAGGTCAGGACAGGAGCAGGTATAAAGCCCAAAGATTCCACAGCCTTCAAAGCACAGCTGCCAGCTCACAGACAGGTGTTAAAAGCAGCCTGTGGACATATCAGGTTCAAACCATATCAATAGTGTCTTGTATAGAATTAACACATCTTCCTCAATACTTTAAATCATTTCTAGATTAGTTATGTACTTAACATGTAAGTGCTATGTGAGTCACTGCCATATGATATCGTTAAGGTAATAAGAAGAAAATGGCCTATAGATGTTCAGTAGAGACAGTTTGTTTTCAGTGTTTTTGATCTGTGGTTGGTTTGATTGTGAACACGGAACTGGGGGCTATGAGGTCTGAGTGTACTTGTGGAATGGATCATCTCTTGAGCTTCCTAGGGTGTGTGTTTGTTATTTACAAGTCAGGCAATGCTCTGCAAGTCTCTGCCCCACCCCCACATTCTGTTCAAGGCTGGCTTTGCTTTGTGGTACCCCAGGGTGACTGCCACGGCATCCAGTGTTGGAGCAGCAGGCGTGCCAGCTGGAGGGGTCCTCACCATCGCCATTATCCTGGAGGCCATTGGATTGAGCACACATGACCTCTCTCTGATCCTGGCTGTCGACTGGATCGTGTAAGTGGCTGAAAGCAAGGACCCTGGGAACCTGATGCTCCCATCAGACCTGCTACATGTAGAGAAACTTAAAACCATCCTTGCTTTGGAAGGAGTCTGTAGTTAAGCTGGCAAAACGAGGTTTCGAAAGTAAGAAGTCAACGATAAAGCAGGCAAGAGCTAGTGAACGCTGAGAACGGCGGGAGCCCTGGCCATCCAGGCGTGCTTGTCGCATTCAGTGGGTGTGAGGGCTGCAGTTTGACAGCAGAGTGGAGTCTCGGCAACTGGAGCAGTGGCTAACCCTGGCCTGCAAACACCCAAAGAATAGTCAGTCTCCATGTGAGAAGAACGTGCGTGCGCGCTGCGCTGGGACCCAGGAGAAGTTAGGTAAGGGAATGGCCAGGCTGCTGTCCCTGCGGTTCCTTACAGACACAAGAGTATCTGGAACTTGAACACCTGAGCCTCGTGATAGGCTTTGTAGGTAGGAATAATACTGTCCTATGGGAAAGCTGCCTAAGGTGGTGGTGCTGAGGCAGCAGAGAACAAGGGTAGGAAGATGAGGCCTTGAGCCCAGGCTTTTCTGTATGCGTGCTCTTGCAACCATGGTAGAAGCCGCACAGTCATGGTGAGGCCTAAATGAGTCAGCATATGAACATACAGTGCACAGAGCACGGGGCATGTGGGGCAGCTTTCAGTAAATGTTAGTAAGAACGGTTCTGCTGGGCTGGTCATGGCCAGGCTGAGAGCCGCTGGCTTCAGGCGCTGGCACTGGGTCCATGATGGTACTTGGAAATGGTAGTCTTTCCAATGTAAATAACAGGACTGAATTCTGAGAGCTCTTCACAGAAATGGGGTGAAATGTCCAACAGAGACTCCTGTGCTGCAGACACTTCATCAGACAGAGTTCCATCTCTGAGCTAGACAGAACCAGAGCCATGTCAGGGATCATCTGTGTCCTCCTCCTCCTTCCTCCTGTCCGTGGAGAATGTATCTCAGAGGTACTCAGCTGGGAAGGGAACTAGCATCCCTATGGCTGCCCAGCAGAGGCCTTGGGCACACAAGCCCCTTGCAGAGGGCATCAGCCCTCCAGTGCCCTTGGAAAAGATCACGGTTTTTCTGTCTTCAAAATGGCTCCAGAACTTTCTGTAAGCTCCAGGGACTGGGGTAGACATTGAGCTACCCTGGGCTAAGGAGGCTGTGGGAAAGCCAGTGCTGTTATCTATGGCATACTGTGACACTGAGGGGAAGAACAACTAACACAAACCACGACTACTCTCTTCTCCCAAATGCATGCGATGTCTTCTATAGCGAGGCCCATTCCATGGAAGAGAAGTGTGAGAAAAGATGGTGGGAGGGAACTGGATTGCCCTTCCCGTATCAGCTCCCAGGACTGTGGAGTATGCACGTGTGACCTGTTCGCCAGCCTCGGCTTCTCTCTTTCCCACATTTTCTCAGTGAGATCTTACTCTCCTGAGAGTAAATGCTGCTTGAAGGGATTTGGTTGAGAGCAGATCTGTTAGCAGTGTATGCCCTCCCACACCACAGCCACAATCAGCAGGGTGCCTTCCCCTGTGGCCGGGTGACCGTGCCTGCCACTGATGACTCTGGGTATAACAGCAGTCCTTTCTCCTTCCTGTTTCCACCAGGGACCGGACCACCACTGTGGTGAATGTGGAAGGGGACGCCCTGGGAGCCGGGATCCTCAACCACCTGAATCAGAGGGCAGCGAAGAAAGGCGAGCAGGAGCTTCAAGAAGTGAAGGTGGAAGCCATTCCCAATTGCAAGTCGGAGGAGGAGACGTCGCCCCTGGTGACACACCAGAACCCAGCAGGCCCTGTGGCGGTTGCACCAGAACTCGAATCCAAGGAGTCAGTGCTCTGATGGGTCTGGGTCTCAGGCCAGCCTGCTAGTACCAGCGACCCACCCTGGTAGCCTGCCCCATTGACATGGGCATGGCCCTCACAGACTTTTCCCCAAGCAATGTCTAATCACCAATTTGAGGGTGACCTCTCAGCGGAAGCATGGGGCTCCCAGGCCAGGACTGATCACTGAGGACTGTCTGTCTTGATCCGTGTCTCAACGGAGCTGGATACACCTTGACTCTATTTGAAAACCCCCTTGAGCTGCCAGGCCTGGGGGAGCCCAGGTTCACAGAGGCCTGGGGATAAAGGTTGGGGGGATGCAGATGGATTCCTCACTGTCCCCTGGTGGCTCCACATCTGGTGCTTTCTGGGCAAACCAGAGGGGTTGATGGTTGTCTAGCGCATTGTCTCAGCAGCAGCAGACACTGAAGAAATCCCGGAGTCTTAGACAGAGCTGAGGTCTGCTGAGCTGGTGCTCGGCTTAAAGAACTGTGACCCACCTGTGTGGGTGGCCTCTAAGGGACCAGAGGTGCTGCCCATTGTCAAGTTGTACATACTCCAAGTGGGGGTTAGCAGAGCTGGGGTCTCAGCTTGAGTAAACCATAAGTTCTGAGGTCAGGGGAAAGACTGGAGAGCATGCTAAAGAGGCTGCGACAGGATTGTTCCCATTCTGGTCCTGAGGCACTGTCCGCTCCCGCTGAGGCTTGGCCCTCTGCCAGCATTTTCCCTGTGTTTCCATTTTTATTTTGGCCACAGACCCTAGGACGACCTCCTCTGGGAGGGGAGATGCAGCCCTCCCTAAAGTGCTGCGGAGCAGGAAATCATATACCCCCCCAAGAGACCCAAGCACTGACAGAGGGGAAGCTCTTCCCAGGCCCCCCGGCTTCGGTCTCCACGGGCAACTCCTCACCTTTTTGTGTCCCGTGGTAAGCCGTAGGCCTCGCATTATCTGCCACTCAACTACGTCGTTGGGAGCGGTGAGGCCAAATGTAAATCTGTAGAAATTACTGTTTTGCTTCTTGGAAGTCAAGTTCCAGCATCCGTAAGTGGCCAGTTTACCTGAGAAACTGCCCCCTCCATGGAGGCCACCTGCGGGCACGAGCAGCTCCTCTGGACTGTTCTCAGACTTCAGAACTCACATTCTGAAGAGTCGGGATGGCATTCAGTGCAGCCTCTTCTGGGTGAGCTGCCGCCTACCACATTTCTGGGTACCCGACCCTGGGTTATGGCTCTACCCACAGTTTCTGCTATCCCCACCCATAATAGAAAATTAAGCCCCTAAGTCATCGGCCTCATCCGTTCTCTTGCTTTCTCTGGTGCACTTATCACTGCACCCCACACACTTGGGGCAGGCGCCATCTTAAAATGGGGCCTGTGCCTGAGTGAGGGGATGGGCATGATCCATGAGAGACAGAGCACGTAGCCAGAATGAAGGCCCAGCCCTTTAACTCACCTGAGCCACTCGACTCTCCTGTGGGGCCAGGAACGACCAGGAACTGAGTGGGGAGTGGCAGACCTTGCTGCCAACACTGCTTTTAAAGGGGAATCAATCACATTGTTTAATTACGAATGAGCATTTGGTATTTTTAAAGTTTCAGTGTATATTTTCCTCTGGGTATTTACATATACTTTATGTATCGTGTGTGTGTGTGTGTGTGTGTGTGTGTGTGTGTGTGTGTGTGTGTATGGTTTTAGCCCCAAGCAAGTTTGAGTTTGGATAAAGGGGAACTAAACTATAAATTATGTCTTTTGTGTCCTAATATTCTCACTTCTAAATAATCTGTTAAATAGGCATTGGAACCAGACAGCAAAAGCCACTCAGGTGCCAACCTGGGCCCAGGAAAGAATACTGCTGTGGTCTGTGTCACGCATGGGATCTCCCTCTTGGAGACCAAAAGGGGAGGCAGTACCATGCCTCCCTTAGTTTTGGCTCTCAGTGGAGTTTATGGAGTTAGGTAATGAGGAAGATTCTACTGCAATGGTCTGAAATGTTTCCTTGCTATTTTTCTAACATGTTCATCTCTTGGTGTTTTGTGTATGTGTGACATTTGCCTTAAAACGTAGCACAGCTATCAAAAATGAGTAGCGTGTTTTTACTGGCACCTGCCTGTCCTTGCGTCCTGTCTTGTATTTGAATGGAGTGAATCACATCACTCCTCTAGGAGATGGCCTGCGGCGACTGAATACAGTTTTCCTTTCCCTTTACAGCTAGCATGAACCCCTGGGGTAAGGAGGATGGTTCCCTCCGATGGAAAAGCCTCACTGATACCTGCTGTCACTGGTCCTCTGCGGCTGTCTGCCTGTAACTCATGATCATTAAGCTTGCATTGGTTTCCCACTCCACACGATTAGGGCTCTGGCAGAAGTGTGTGGGTTTGCCACAGACCTCTAACACTAAGTGTTGTCAGAACGACTAGGTTGACAGGGGTTAATGAAGCATCCATGCTAAGCCAAGCACCGGGGCAAGAACAAGGCCCTCACAGTTACCGGGTAAGTCCCTATCCCGACAGTCCCTACAGGCAAGGCAGTTGCCCGTGCTTGCACTAGGGGCACCACACCCAACTTATTCTCTCACATAACCATGTCTTCCTTTTCTGGAAAAAATAGTCTGTTTTTGTTTTTTTGAGAGAGGGCATTACTGTGTAGTCTAGGCTGGCCTTGAACTGCTGAGACTCTTGCCTTCAGCTTCCCAAGCACCAACAGGCAGGTGGCATCTTACCTCATCCTGTTTTCAGTGACGTCACATTCCCACACAACAGGAGACTCTAGAAGCTCACACAGGAAGCTGGTTTCCAGACCCAGGGGCCGTAGGGAAACAGGCCCATTGTGACCTGGATATCACCCGATCTCTCTGTATAGTGTGGAAATTGGCTTTAATTCTTGGTAGAGCACAAAGAATGGAAGAGTTCACTTAGATCGAAGGCCTGATGGGAGCTGAGACAACAATTTAGACTCCTCCTTGCCCCGCTCCTGGAGCTTTTTTAGGTGTTCTGAGGTTGAAATCAGCATCTGATGATTCTGCTTTCCAAGGTAGTCAGGGCAAGAGCGGCTGTTCTGTGGGCTCACGCCACCTCCGACTGGTATTTGGGAAGGTCTTTTAGAATGCACCTGCTCCAAGGAAATTTTGTTTTATCTCCATGAATGGCCCAGATCACACAGCCAACTGTCAGTTCTTGACTCTGCTGCTTGCTTCTCTGCAACCAAGGATCAGTCATCTCTCCATGTCTTGGCCTCCTCATATTGAAAGGTGGATCATAGTCACAGGCCATTGTGAAGAGCAGATGAGTTTCATGAGTGTTGAGTCTTCAGGAGAGCGCCTGGCACATTGAATTTGATGAGTGCAAGCTGATTTTCATGTAGACTGATGGCTGGAAATGCCCTCTCCAGCCTATGACCCCTTGTGGCTGGGCCCATTTGTAAACTTCTTTGTATGTGAGACCAACAGCTATTTATCCACATAGGGCACAAATGACAGACCAAAGAAATGGTTTTACTCAAGTGTAGCTTTGGGAACAATGGTTTTAATTAGGGTTCCATAAAGAATCACAGGCAATTTATAGATAGCTACACCACCGAAGAAAATACAGTAGGCCTTTTAGGTCTCATTACCTCTGGGTTAAGCTGTGGGTCTCTGCAAGGCCTGGCCACCATTTCTTTATTCTCTTGAAGAGAAACATGCATGGCTTACTCTGCAGGGAATAACTCTTCCCTTGGGACAACCTTAGTTTTGTTTTTGTTTTGTTTTGTTTTGTTTTGTTTTTTAACCTAAACCACTGTGTCTTTAATGTCACCAAACTTTTCTCCATTTTTAAAATCTTCCAGAGTCTCACAAACACTAGATTTGGCTTTCTGTCATTTTTCCCCCGTAGATATTCTGGCTCAACACCAGTCTTGCCAAATTCATCTTTGATTCTGTTGGACCCCATGTTTGGGGGCTGTTCTGTTTAGGTTGCTATGGCTGTGAGAAACACCATGACCAAAAGCAACATGTTTCAGTTCACATTGTAGCCCACCATGAAAGAAAGTTGGGGTGGGAACATAACACAGGAACCTGGAAGCAGGAACAGAAGCAGAGGCCCTGGAGGAGCACTGCTGACTGGCTTGCTCAGCTTGCTTTCTTATAAAGTTGTCAACAGGCAAGCTTATGGAGGTATTTTCTCTGTTGTGGATTCCAGATAACTCCAGTTTATCAGCTTGACAAAAGACTAGGAAATGTACCAAGTTTTGTGTGAAGTTTTCTTGGGGAGATGAATGTTTCTTCGCCCTGGAAAAGGCATCAACAGCAGACCAAAAAAATAATTTCATTCAAGTCTAGTTTGGTGAATCAATGAACTTGATTAGGGTTGTTTATAGGCACATAGGCAACTTATAGACCTGAAGAAAAACAGGTCAGAGGTGGTGTGCACACCTTTAATCTCAGAATCTAGAAGGCTGAGCACACAAATTTCTGTGCATGTGTGAGTTCAAGGCCAGCCTGATCTACTTAGTAAGTTCCAGACCAGCCAGAAATACATAGGGAGAGCCCATCTTAAAAAAGAAAAGAAAGCATGAGTACCTGAGTTCAGACCACAGCACTTACATGAAATGGCTAGATATGGTGGTTCTTTCCTGTAATCCCAGTGCTAGGCTTACACATACACATAATTTTTCAAAAATAAAAATCTTGTGTGTGTGTGTGTGTATAATTCAGTACTGTCCAGTGTGTTAGAGGCATGGAGAAAACATCACATCACTAATGTGATTCCAAAAGATTCTCCCCATGAACAAAAGAATGAATCTGCTTCCTGTCTCTATGGATGTTCCCACTGTGACTTCCCCTGTACCTGAGATGGTAACATCCTTTTCTTCTATAGAGAAACTCCTGGTAAAGATGATCGATGTTCAAATGTGATCCCTGCCCAGTTTCCCTCTCTTCTCACATACCAGAGGGAGGCCTTACAAGAAATGATTCCTAAATCAACAAACAGCATAGATCATTTTGGCTCATTCAACATCTGCTCAGAAGGATCTTTTTCCATCATGGGTTGAGGAAGGAAAAATGGGCATCTGGATTAATAGATGAAACAGAACAGATACTGATTAGACCAGCCTCTGCCCATCCATCTAAGTGATATTGATCCATACATCTAGACCACATTCTGAGTCAATGTGGTGGAGCCCTAGGAAGAAATTCTGCTCATTCTCAAAGCCGCCACACTGTGCACCTCCATTGAAGCATAATTCACAGCGTGTCCTGTGTGAATGACCCTCTCTCTAGAGTTGTGTAGTGCACTGTCTTCACAGTTGTATGTGACAGCCCTAGACTTAAAGATGGGTGACAGGGGTTTTTGGTTTTGCTTTGTTTGTTTTGGGGGGTGTTTGGTTGGTTTTTGAGACAGGGTTTCTCTGTGTCACCGTGGCTGTCCTGAACTTGCTTTGTTGACCTGCCGGTCTCTGCCTCCCTGAGTGCTGGGATTACAGGCGTGCACCACTGCTACCGTGCCTGCCTTGAGTGACAGTTTAAAAATTTGACTCACACTCTTTTTGTTGTTGTTGTTTTGTAGAGGAATCTTAATCCAGCAATGCAGCTGCTCTGGCAAGGGATCACATCCAAAAACCTGGGTCTGTGTGAGCCAGCTGGAATACAGACACACCATTACTATACACCTTTAATCCCTCTGGCTAGAATTTAGTACACACCTTTATTCCTAATTGAGGGTCAGACAAAGTGACGAATCAGAGAATGATTTGACAGAATTTGTCAGAGATAGGATATGTCCAGTTCTCATGAGAACAGACAGGAAAGAGAAGCTACTTACGAGCAGAGCAGAGAAAGAGCAACAGTGTTCATGGAGACAGTGCAGTACAGTTCAGTGCAGTTGAGTTCATGCCATTCAGTTCCTGGAGTTCAGAGACAGTTTTTCGAAGCAGAGCAATGCAGTGAGAAGCTGAGAGAAGCCAATTTGAATCAATCAGCTTGAAGAGGAGTTTTGAGCCAGAACAGCTGAGTTAACCAGCCAGCCAGAGTTCAGAAAGAAATGGAAAGGGTGAACTTACTTAGCAGTAATTCTCAGAGACTGAAACCATTCTAGGCCTAGGTTACCAGCCAGAGGCTGGAAGCTAAAGCCTTCAAGGTCCAGGCTTGCAGAAGATTAAATTGTGTGGCAACTAGAAGCTTCCAGGCCTAGGCCTAGGGATAGCTATATACAAACACTCTGGGCTCATCCCAAGCCATGTATGTATAAAGTTTGGGTACAGCTTTCATCTCTTCCCCTCTCTGAGGAAACTAAAACAACATTTACAGTTGTTTTGTTTTTTGAGACAGGGTTTTTTTGTGTAGCCCTAGCTGTCCTGGAACTTGTTCTGTAGACCTGGCTGGCCTCAAACTCAGAGATCTGCCTGCCTCTGCCTCTCAAGTGCTAGGATTAAAGGTGTGAGCCAATTGCTTGGCCTGACTCACACTCTTAACATAAAGTATTTTTGATATGTTCATCCTGTAAAAACAGGTTTTTTTCTTTTCTTGCTTGTTTTCCTTTTAATGGGTGTGGGTAATGAGTCTTTGAGGCAGTAGGATTGTGGTCAAGAGGCACCTACAAAATCATAATACCACTCACATGACTTTTTCTCTTTTGATGCCCACGTAGCAAGGTCCCTTGCTTTCTGCTAGGCACCTTGTAGCACTGATGTATCGTGGTTGTCTGAGATGGGGTCGGTCTGGCAATGCCACAATGACACATCCCAGGTTGCCTAACATTCATTATCCTACTGCCTTAGTCTCCAGAATGCCAGGACGGCAGGCACATGTACCATGTCTGTTTTTTGGCTGACTTTTTATCTCCGTTCCTCAAAGCACCTGGACTGCTTGGCTGGCTTACAGGCTTCCTCACAGCCAAACCCATTGAAGAGGGTACCTGGTGGCCAGGACTGGGAGAGGCCACATTGCAAAGAGTATTATTATCTGTAACATTATTCAGCTTATTCCAGGCTCATCCTCAGAGGTGAATGGAGCCACCCACACTGTAGGTCTCCCCCTAATTAACTCAGTCTAGGAAGTCCCTCACAGTCTTGCCCAGAGGCTTGTCTCTTTGGTGATTTTTTCATCCTGTCAAGTA